CCTGTGTCAATGTGTCTAGGTGTGTTAGTGTGTCTGTGCGTGTGTGTCAGTGTGTCTGCGTGTGTCAGTGTGTCTGCGTGTGTCAGTGTGTCTGTGCGTGTGTGTCAGTGTGTCTGTGCGTGTGTGTCAGTGTGTCTGCGTGTGTCAGTGTGTCTGTGCGTGTGTGTCAGTGTGTCTGCGTGTGTGTCTGCGTGTGTGTCTGCGTGTGTCAGTGTGTCTGTGCGTGTGTTTCAGTGTGTCTGTGCGTGTGTCTGTTGATGTGTCAGTGTGTCTGCGTGTGTCAGTGTGTCTGCGTGTGTCAGTGTGTCTGTGCGTGTGTGTCAGTGTGTCTGTTGGTGTGTCAGTCTGTCTGCGTGTGTCTGTGTGTCTGTGCGTGTGTGTCAGTCTGTCTGCGTGCGTCAGTGTGTCTGTGCGTGTGTGTCAGTGTGTCTGCGTGTGTGTCAGTGTGTCTGTGCGTGTGTGTCAGTGTGTCTGCGTGTGTCAGTGTGTCTGTGCGTGTGTGTCAGTGTGTCTGCGTGTGTCAGTGTGTCTGTGCGTGTGTGTCAGTGTGTGTGCGTGTGTCAGTGTGTCTGTGCGTGTGTGTCAGTCTGTCTGCGTGTGTCAGTGTGTCTGTGCGTGTGTGTCAGTGTGTCTGCGTGTGTGTCTGCGTGTGTCAGTGTGTCTGTGCGGGTGTGTCAGTGTGGCTGTGCGTGTGTCAGTGTGTCTGCGTGTGTCAGTGTGTCTGTGCGTGTGTGTCAGTGTGTCTGTGCGTGTGTGTCAGTGTGTCTGCGTGTGTGTCTGCGTGTCTGTGCGTGTGTCAGTGTGTCTGCGTGTGTCAGTGTGTCTGTGCGTGTGTGTCAGTGTGTCTGTGTCAGTGTGTCTGTGCGTGTGTGTCAGTGTGTTTGTGCGTGTGTGTCAGTGTGTCTGTGCGTGTGTCAGTGTGTCTGCGTGTGTCAGTGTGTCTGTGCGTGTGTGTCAGTGTGTCTGCGTGTGTCAGTGTGTCTGTGCGTGTGTGTCAGTGTGTCTGCGTGTGTCAGTGTGTCTGCGTGTGTCAGTGTGTCTGTGCGTGTGTGTCAATGTGTCTGTGCGTGTGTGTCAGTGTGTCTGCGTGTGTCAGTGTGTCTGTGCGTGTGTGTCAGTGTGTCTGTGCGTGTGTATGCGTCTGTCAGTGTGTCTGCGTGTATCAGTGTGTCTGTGCGTGCGTGTCAGTGTGTCTGTGCGTGTGTCTGTTGGTGTGGCAGCGTGTCTGTGCGTGTGTGTCAGTCTGTCTGCGTGTGTCTCAGCGCGTGTGTGTCAGTGTGTTTGTCTGTGCATGTCAGTGTGTCTGTCCGTGTGTGTCAGCGCGTGTGTGTCAGTGTGTCTGTGCGTGTGTCTGCGTGTGTCAGTGTGTCTGTGCGTGTGTGTCAGTGTGTCTGTGCGTGTGTGTCAGTGTGTCTGTGTGTGTCAGTGTGTCTGTGCGTGTGTCAGTGTGTCTGTTGGTGTGTCAGTGTGTCTGTGCGTGTGTCAGTGTGTCTGCGTGTGTCAGTGTCTGTTGGTGTGTCAGTGTGTCTGTGCGTGTGTCAGTGTGTCTGTGCGTGTGTGTCAGTGTGGCTGTGCGTGTGTTAGTGTCTCTGCGTGCGTCAGTGTGTCTGTGCCTGTGTCAATGTGTCTGCGTGTGTCAGCGTGTCTTTGCGTGTGTGTCAGTGTGTCTGCGTGTGTCAGTGTGTCTGCGTGTGTCAGTGTGTCTGTGCGTGTGTGTCATTGTGTCTGTGCGTGTGTCAGTGTGTCTGTGCGTGTGTCAGTGTGTCTGTGCGTGTGTGTCAGTGTGTCTGTGCGTGTGTCAGTGTGTCTGCGTGTGTCAGTGTGTCTGTGCGTGTGTGTCAGTGTGTCTGCGTGTGTCAGTGTGTCTGTGCGTGTGTGTCAGTGTGTCTGCGTGTGTCAGTGTGTCTGCGCGTGTCAGGGTGTCTGTGCGTGTGTGTCACCACCAGATAACGGCTCAGACCTCCCCACCCCCATATTCAAACACCCGATCAATGGGCACTGCAACGTGGACCGACTTGCTCATCAACAGAGTCAAGTTGACAGCAGGGGCTGCAGGGCCACCCCGTGGGAGTTGGGGGGGCGGGGTGGAGGGGCGGGGGCGGGTCCCGGTGTATTATGGGTAAATTACGCAAAGTCCCCCCCACGTGGTCACGGATAAGGGGAGCTCCACTCCCGCACTCCCGCAAGGGCGTCGCACCGATCCCCCTCCACTGCCGGCAACTGCGCAGCGCTGAGCCGACGGGTGGCGCTGCTCCACGCTGCGTTCACAGAGAAGGGGGATTCCGCCCTCACCAATTTACTCCTCCCCATTCAAATCGGCTCGTTCGGCGCCGCACGCGCCCGATGATTGTTAAACGCGTCCCACGCGACGCGCCATGCAATTAACGGTGTCGCCGTCACGTTGCGTGTCTGTAATCTACCCAGACAGCACCGGGGAGCCGTTGACCAGTCGGACTGACCCCCGCCCCCCACCACCTCGCCTCCCCCCATCGCCCCCGTGTGGCGATGGGGGGAGGCATCAGAACCGTTCCTATTCGTCCGTTCTGCGGAACGTCACAGGCCCCTCCACGTGGCTTGAGTCGGGTAGGGGTGGGTGGGGTCTGTGCCCGAGCCTTGAAATGACCGAGCTGATATTGCACGATACGGGTTTGATTGTAGAGCGACCTCATGATGTAAACGCCGCGGTGTTTTTTTCATTTTATTTATTGGAGCAATTATTTATTTATTTTCAGATGTGTCCGCTCGTTCAGGCGGAAACTTGATATTCACGCAGCCTTTCGCCTTATGGAGTCAAGCTGATCACCTTCACCCCCTGCAAAAAAATGGAACGATCCAAGCTTAGCTGATACGGTACTGTGGGTGACTTGGAGTATACCATTTGAGCGCGGTGTGTGTGGGGGGGGGTATACGCTGGTAGTGAATGTGCTCGTTTGTCTTACAGATGCACGCGAACTGCCATGCACGGGAATGCGTGCGGAGTTAAACACCCGCCATGTGTAAAACACGACATCATAGCGCACAATCACGCGTCGTCCATCGCGTAAGTCGACACGATCAGCATGAATAATGAATAGAGTGTAGGCTTAATTATAAACAATTAAAACAAGCGTACGTATCCGTGTACCATCATCATCACCATGAATATTCCATCGGCACCGGCCGTGACGCGCGACTAGGTCCGAGTGCTCCCCACTGCAGCGCAGCGAGGCCGACCGTGACCCCCGCTCACCCCCAGAGGTCACGCCCTGCCGCGCAAGGTCCCCAACCCCCTGCACCTCCAGATTCCGAGACCCCCAGACCCTCAACCTCCATCCCTGCTCCCCGAAACCACGGACGTCCGTCCCAACGCTTCCACATTTGCTGACTGCGTGTCCTGCTGCCCCATCCACAATCAGAGCTCCCCCAAATTGTTGACACAAGCCTTAGTCCCCTAGATCGCCAGATCTTGCATCTTCACATCTCCAACCCAACCCTGACAAGATCTACAACCGAATGTTAACGACATCTCCAACTGTAGATGCAACTCCTCCAAACCTCCCCAACCCGAGTACCCACCTCATCCACTCCACACACCCCTCTACCCCCAGTATTCTCAGCTTCCCAGATCCAGCTCCTCACCACCCCGGAGCAATAGCGCCTTTTGTTGAGACTGCTGCCCCCACGGATAAAGGGCAAGAAGAGTGATCTGAGGGACTACTGCCCTTAACCTTTAACCCGTGACCCGAACCATAATACCACTATATTATAACCCAACACCAAACTCTAACCCCTAACCTTAAATCCGAACCCCTAAATCCCACCAGCTACCCCAACACCTCAACGCATAACTCCGAATCCTAAATAATAACCCGAATCCCCTAAACCCTCATCTCTAAAACCAACCCCTATCCCATACCCTCCACTCAAACTCTAATCCCTAACCAAAAACCTTGACCCTAAACTCTAACCCGTAAAATTTAACTCCTGAACGCCAACCCATGAATCCCAACCCCTGACTTAAATCCTGACGACTCCCCGAAACCGCAATGACATCGACTTATTGGCAGATGCCATTGGACAGGAAGCGGTGAGCACCATTTAAGCAAGGGCTGTGATTGGACGGGAATCTGGCTTGAGATTGGCTCCGAAACGTGTGTGGTGCAAGTCTCTCCTCCTACGCCCGTGACCTCACTCATTGCTCAAGGGAGCCACGAAGTGTCGTTGTGGAGAATGCCAGTAAACTATAAATAGCGCCTCCGTCCCCGGATTTCTGTTACCACGCAAATCATGCAAATACAAATATTTGTACACATCCCATCAGCCACTCGGCCTTCTGGGGGTGCATCTTATCAGCAGCAACAAAGTAAAACAACAGCAACTCTGTAGCGGTTTCGACATTCCGTTTCTCAGCGGGACTCTCGCTCTGCTGCCGAGACACCGAAAAGTAAAAAAAAAATATTTCACCAGGCAAGGCCCACGCGGAGCTACACAGATCTCTTTCAGAAGCGACCTGGCCACAAATGACAGCTCAACGAGGTGACTAATCGTCACGTGGACATTCATAGGGGCCAAAAGTCGAGACCGATCCAAGTGTTCTGCTCGTGTAATCGCATACTTTCCATACTTTCCATGGAGACACCAAATTCTATTTAATTAAACACAAGTTATGAGCAATGACCCCGTGACCCAATTAGAAGCCCACGTGACCTTACCATATCGCCAGGGCAGCACGTGTGTTGATGTAGTCTTCGTTGTTGTTGTGTTTATCTGTTTTTGTTTATCTTAAAAGCACTTGCACTGTTAAGACGGCTTCCGACGAACGCGTGGAAACTCCCCAGTAAAGGTGCCCAACGTTGGCCCAACGTTGGCCCACAACGTTCCAGCAACATATATGTGATACTGCACAGTATATATGTGGGTCCTGCACAATATATATGTGGTACTGCACAGCATATATGTGAGTATTGCACGGTATATGTGGTACTGCATAGTATATATGTGGTATATATTGTGTACGCAAAATGCTAAACCTGTGCGCACGAATGGGCGCGTGTGTCGCGCGTACACAGACCGCGGTGCGGCACGTGTCCCAGGTGCGGCACGTGTCCCAGGCGCGACACGTGCCCCAGGCGCGACACGTGCCCCAGGCGCGGCACGTGTCCCAAGCGCGACACGTGCCCCAGGCGCGACACGTGTCCAAGGCGCGTACACGGACCGCGGTGCGACACGTGTCCCAGGCGCGACACGTGTCCCAGGCGCGGCACGTGTCCCAGGCGCGGCACGTGTCCCAGGCGCGACACGTGCCCCAGGCGCGGCACGTGCCGCTCACCCTCAGTGTTCTGTCTGCATTGGCTGACCTTTCAAGATGGGAGTGGTGACGTGAGATTGGTGAGTGGTGACGTGAGATTGGTGAGTGGTGACGTGAGATTGGTGAGGGGTGACGTGAGATTGGTGAGTGGTGGCGTGAGATTGGTGAGTGGTGACGTGAGATTGGTGAGTGGTGACGTGAGATTGGTGAGTGGTGACGGGAGATTGGTGAGGGGTGACGTGAGATTGGTGAGTGGTGGCGTGAGATTGGTGAGTGGTGACGTGAGATTGGTGAGTGGTGACGTGAGATTGGTGAGTGGTGACGTGAAATTGGTGAGTGGTGACGTGAGATTGGTGAGTGGTGACGTGATATTGGTGAGTGGTGACGTGAGATTGGTGAGTGGTGGCGTGAGATTGGTGAGTGGTGGCGTGAGATTGGTGAGTGGTGACGTGAGATTGGTGAGTGGTGACGTGAGATTGGTGAGTGGTGGCGTGAGATTGGTGAGTGGTGGCTTGAGATTGGTGAGTGGTGACGTGAGATTGGTGAGTGGTGACGTGAGATTGGTGAGTGGCGGTGTGAGATTGGTGAGTGGTGACGTGAGATTGGTGAGTGGTGACGTGAGATTGGTCCGTGAGTGTGAATGAGACTGTGAGTCTGTGAGTGTGAATGAGACTGTGAGTCTGTGAGTGTGGATGAGACTGTGAGTCTGTGAGTGTGGATGAGTCTGTGAGTCTGTGAGAGTGAATGAGACTGTGAGTCTGTGAGTGTGAATGGGACTGTGAGTCTGTGAGTGTGGATGAGACTGTGAGTCTGTGAGTGTGAATGGGACTGTGAGTCTGTGAGTGTGAATGAGACTGTGAGTCTGTGAGTGTGGATGAGACTGTGAGTCTGTGAGTGTGAATGAGACTGTGAGTCTGTGAGTGTGGATGAGACTGTGAGTCTGTGAGTGTGGATGAGACTGTGAGTCTGTGAAAGTGAATGAGACTGTTAGTCTGTGAGTGTGAATGAGACTGTGAGTCTGTGAGTGTGGATGAGACTGTGAGTCTGTGAGTGTGGATGAGACTGTGAGTCTGTGAGTGTGAATGAGACTGCGAGTCTGTGAGTGTGGATGAGTCTGTGAGTCTGTGAGAGTGAATGAGACTGTGAGTCTGTGAGTGTGGATGAGACTGTGAGTCTGTGAGAGTGAATGAGACTGTGAGTCTGTGAGTGTGAATGAGACTGTGAGTCTGTGAGTGTGAATGAGACTGTGAGTCTGTGAGTGTGGATGAGACTGTGAGTCTGAGTGCCGGTTGGACTTGAGAGTGCCGCGTGAGATTTGAAGTGTGGATTTCCGCATGATGGAAGTCGTAGTAAAGATTCTGTACACCCCACAAAGCCGAGCCACGCATCGAGTCCATTATTCCTTCCACTCTGCATCCTAGAGCTCACAAGCTTCACCCCTCACCGCCTGCCGCTAGCCCACAAGCAGCAGCCCCCACCGCCTGCCGCTAGCCGACAAGCGAGCCCCCACCGCCTGCCGCTAGCCCACAAACAGCAGCACCCACCGCCTGCCGCTAGCCCACAAGCGAGCCCCCACCGCTTGCCGCTAGCCCACAAACAGCAGCACCCACCGCCTGCCGCTAGCCCACAAACAGCAGCACCCACCGCCTGCCGCTAGCCCACAAGCGAGCGCCCTTCCTCGCCACAATTCTTGCCTCCAACGGTCGAACAACAACGCACCTACCATGATATGTGTTGCTATGTTTGATATTTTTTTTTAAAACATACATGCGGTATACAATACGTTCAAATATCGATCGATCTTATGTTTAATAAACGTGTTTAATACATCCTCAATTACGAGCAACATAAAACAACTAAATTTAACCAAAATAAAATCGAACATCGCAACAAGTATCATGGCATGACCTAAGTCCTGCACGTGCTCTGGCACCATCGCTGCGTGCCGATGCCGAGCCCCACGGCAAGCACAAAAAGCGCAGCCCTGGAATGAGACTGAACCCTTTGATGACACGCGCCCGAGGTGCACCCCGGCGATGATGATGATGATGAATGCCACCGACTTCACCACCACCGCACGACTATGTTTATTTTGCATATGTTGTAGTCACTCAGAGACACTACTAGTAGGAGGCACACACGTTTAGTCTATACTACCACCGTACAGGGGATAACTACACACGGGTCAGGACAGCCGGCACAGTGCCTGACCCACAACGCCAAGGAGATCAGACGGGGACGAAGACTTGCACAGACGAAGGGTTCCATTCCAAACGACAGCCCTGACCCAGCGTCGGGGCCTCCCTTTTTTCCTCCCCAGCATGGCCTGGCTCCGCCCTCGGGCACGCCTCCTTTTGGAACCTCCCAGAAGGTTCTGGGCTATGCCCCACGCGTCCCCTCTGTCACCTTTACCCCACATCCCTCACCCCGGCCTCTCACGTGCCCTGCTGGCAGAACGGCTGCTGTGTCCTCAGATCCCCCCTCTCTACCAGTCACCAGCGCTACGTGTCCTAGTGGCACACTTCACCTGCCCTGCTGGTAGACCGTGCTCCTACACCCACAACCCCCCTCTCTACCAGTCACCAGCGCTACGTGTCCTAGTGGCACACTTCACCTGCCCTGCTGGTAGACCGTGCTCCTACACCCACAACCCGGCTGTCTACCAGTCACCAGCGCTACGCGTCCTAATTACCCATTTTATGTCACTACACATATGTCACTACGCATATGTCACTACGCATATGTCACTACACATATGTCACTACACATGTCACTACATATGTAATAAGGCCCCACTGAGCTATGTAGCTCTTTGTCAGAAGCGACCTGGCTATCACAAATGAAATCTCAACGAAGTGGCTTATCATCCTGTGCAAATGTATAGCAGTCAAACACTCTGAACGCGTGGTAATGTTGATTCTAAATGTGGAGGGGGAAAACCGCAGGATCCCGGGAAAAATGAATGCGACCACAGGGAGAGAGAGACACGCAAACTCCAAATATAGAGCAGGCGTCAGGGTCGGGATAGAAACCACGACCTCCTGTGTACCAGGCGAGGTAGTTAACATCTCACCACGGGGAGAGAGACACGTAAACTCCAAATATACAGCAGGCGTCAGGGTCGGGATAGAAACCACGACCTCCTGTATACCTGACGAGGTAGTTAACATCTCACCACGGGGAGAGAGACACGCAAACTACAAATATACAGCAGGCATCAGGGTCGGGATAGAAACCACGACCTCCTGTGTACCAGGCGAGGTAGTTAACATCTTACCACGGGGAGAGAGACATGCAAACTCCAAATATAGAGCAGGTATCAGGGTCGGGATAGAAACCACGACCTCCTGTGTACCTGGCGAGGTAGTTAACATCTCACCACGGGGAGAGAGACATGCAAACTCCAAATATAGAGCAGGTATCAGGGTCGGGATAGAAACCACGACCTCCTGTGTACCTGGCGAGGTAGTTAACATCTCACCACGGGGAGAGAGACATGCAAACTCCAAATATAGAGCAGGCGTCAGGGTCGGGATAGAAACCACGACCTCCTGTGTACCTGGCGAGGTAGTTAACATCTCACCACGGGGAGAGAGACACGCAAACTCCAAATATAGAGCAGGCATCAGGGTCGGGATAGAAACCACGACCTCCTGTGTACCTGGCGAGGTAGTTAACATCTCACCACGGGGAGAGAGACATGCAAACTCCAAATATAGAGCAGGCATCAGGGTCGGGATAGAAACCACGACCTCCTGTGTACCTGGTGAGGTAGTTAACATCTCACCACGGGGAGAGAGACACGCAAACTCCAAATATAGAGCAGGCATCAGGGTCGGGATAGAAACCACGACCTCCTGTGTACCTGGCGAGGTAGTTAACATCTCACCACGGGGAGAGAGACATGCAAACTCCAAATATAGAGCAGGCATCAGGGTCGGGATAGAAACCACGACCTGCTGTGTACCTGGCGAGGTAGTTAACATCTCACCACGGGGAGAGAGACACGCAAACTCCAAATATAGAGCAGGCATCAGGGTCGGGATAGAAACCACGACCTCCTGTATACCTGGCGAGGTAGTTAACATCTCACCACGGGGAGAGAGACACGCAAACTCCAAATATAGAACAGGCATCAGGGTCGGGATAGAAACCACGACCTCCTGTGTACCTGGCGAGGTAGTTAACATCTCACCACGGGGAGAGAGACATGCAAACTCCAAATATAGAGCAGGCATCAGGGTCGGGATAGAAACCACGACCTGCTGTGTACCTGGCGAGGTAGTTAACATCTCACCACGGGGAGAGAGACACGCAAACTCCAAATATAGAGCAGGCATCAGGGTCGGGATAGAAACCACGACCTCCTGTATACCTGGCGAGGTAGTTAACATCTCACCACGGGGAGAGAGACACGCAAACTTCAAATATAGAGCAGGCATCAGGGTCGGGATAGAAACCATGACCTGCTGTGTACCTGGCGAGGTAGTTCACATCTCACCACGGGGAGAGAGACACGCAAACTCCAAATATAGAGCAGGCATCAGGGTCGGGATAGAAACCACGACCTCCTGTATACCTGGCGAGGTAGTTAACATCTCACCACGGGGAGAGAGACACGCAAACTCCAAATATAGAGCAGGCATCAGGGTCGGGATAGAAACCACGACCTCCTGTGTACCTGGCGAGGTAGTTAACATCAGCTCCTGGTGTGCCGCTCCCAGGTGCGTCACCACGCCGATTCCGAATCGATCAACAGACGCGCGGACTATGACATGCAATCGATAAACAGGCACGTGGTTGAGAAGCGGTCGCGTTCGTGGAACGTGTGTGTCGTAAACCCTCCTCCACCCGGCACGGCCAGTTTATAAAGTTGTCACGTGGTTGCTTCAGCAGCAACAACAGACCCGGTAGCGGTGTTTGGAGAGCGATCCCACCACACGTTTAACAATTGGGCTGTCCGACGTTTCACTGGCAGTTACAACCAGCGTCATCAGGTAGTTGTTGCCAGAATCGGCAGTTGTTTAAATGTT